TTTTTTTTCAACGTTTATTTATTTTTGCGACAGAGAGAGACAGAGCATGAACGGGGGAGGGGCAGAGAGAGAGGGAGACACAGAATCGGAAACAGGCTCCAGGCTCCGAGCCATCAGCCCAGAGCCTGACGCGGGGCTCGAACTCACGGACCGCGAGATCGTGACCTGGCTGAAGTCGGACGCTTAACCGACTGCGCCACCCAGGCGCCCCAACCCTCACTCATCTTTATGGCACTTCTCACCACTTGATATGTATAATTTACTGCCCATCCTGCTTTTTTCAAAGTAAACTCTCTGTTAATGACTTTCCTTTATTCACTGCTGTTTCCCCAGTGCTAACACAGGGCCAGGCACAGAGTAAGCTGCAAGAATCTGGATCCTACGTGTGGAAAGGGAGGCCTCCGTTTTTGGCTGAGCCGCTGGGGAGAGGTCAAGTATCACAAAGGGGAAGACTGGAGGGGCAGGATCAGGCGCCACACTGTGGCCCTATTAAGTTTAAGATGCCTGGGAGGTACTTCCAGAGAGGCAACACTCTCGAGGGGGGAATTCGTCAACTCTGTGGGCTCTATCACCGTGTGTATAAGCCACTGACTCCTACAGTGGCATGTGTAGCCCACATCTTTTTCCTGAACGGCAGATTCAAGTCAGTACCGGTTTATACGCATCTCCGTGTCGCACCTTAAACTCAGCATGTGTAGAACTGAAGTGAGATCCCCCTCTTCACACACACCCAAATATTCCTCTTCCGGCATCTAACCATCCTATCATCCACCTAGTTTCTCAAGCTAGAAACCCCGGAGTCTTTCTCGGCGGTCTCCTGCATATCCCCTCTATCCAACCTCTCCCCCAGCACCTGTAGATGTGATCTCCAGCATAACTCTAGAAAGCTTTTCTCTCCTTCCACGGCTTATACTGCTTCCCTTTTCCAGGCCGCCATCTTTTCCTGCCTGGGTATCTGTGTCCCAACTGCTTTCTCCTTATTAACTCTGCTGTAATACGTTTTTCAGTCAAAATGCTGATCCAAACCACCTATTCGACATATTTACAAACGAATTTGCAACCACAGGATATTTTGTTTTTAGCGTTGCCTAATTTAGACACCAGAGCATCTAGACCCAAACACAGGAGAGCAAAACACAACAATGCCATGCGGGAAAACACCAGTCTTATACCTCTGCTTCCGTTTCTCTAAGCTGGGTTTCTCACATTTCAACTCGATAAATGACAAAGTTGTTTCCAGAAGACACAGTTGTTTCTTAAACACATCATACCTGAATAACAGCACTAAACCAACATGTATTGCCAACATTCTTCAGTCCAACTGGCCAACCATCAACTCTCCTCCAGTCGTTGGGATTGGGATTTTCTCCCCAGACTTCACAGCGTTTTCTCTTTGAGCGTTTAGTTTCTGCAGAGGCTGCCTCGCGCATCCTATAGTGTGCCAACATACCACACAACAAAAAAGGAAAAAGTTAAAGAACAATGTATTATATGGAGAATCATGGTCATCTTTCATAGATAATTCGAAATGCCAGATACACTATTTCCTGGGTAATCACTGGGCTATATAGTAGCTATAACATTATAATCTAAACGAAAAGTAAGGGTTAGACATGGATGCTAATCCTTCCGTAACAGAGATTATTACCAATAAGGTCCATGATGGAACCGAGCTGACACTCAAGACTATTTATGGCTGCCGTATCAAAAGATTCAGATTTCAGCAACAGTGACCTATCTCAGACCTCGCCATTGAGAGAGGCAAGAGAGACACTCTGCTAGAGATAAGAGCCTTCAAATTGCCTAGCACACAAAACCTGGCCCTATGTTTTCCTGAAACAACTCAGCAGTGTGAGGGAATAAACATATCCAGAAACTGACAGGCCTCCATTGGAACTAGATGTTTATGAACAATACCAGTCAATCATCAAATTAGTACTAATTCAAAAAAGATATGTGTGGTCACTTCTGAGACGGGGTAGTTGAGCGTTAACTCATTTTGAAAGAGCCAACAACATAACCTTCAATGTGTACGAAGCCTCCAAGTTTATGAAGGGGATACATACTGTCAGACGTTTGTACTAGGATGGGTTTTCTCTCCCTCTCAAGTGCAAACTACGAAGGCCTGCAGGCCTCTACTCAAAGACCACATCTACTCTAAGACCTTTGCCATATTTGGCTTTGTCAAAAAGTAAACCAAAAAGTAAGCTAATGGGAATTTAAATTTTCTCCTAAAAAAGTTTCATTTGGATGCAATTAAAAGAGCTTAGCAGGGGCGCCTGGGTGGCTCAGTTGGTTAAGCAGCCGACTTCGGCTCAGGTCATGATCTCGCGGTCCGTGAGTTCGAGCCCCGCGTCGGGCTCTGGGCTGATGGCTCAGAGCCTGAAGCCTGTTTCAGATTCTGTGTCTCCCTCTCGCTGACCCTCCCCTGTTCATACTCTGTCTCTCTCTATCTCAAAAATAAATAAAACGTTAAAAAAAAAATTAAAAGAGCTTGGCAGAACTGTCCCTCAGTGGCATCCACAACTATTACTGCCTCTGACCTACATACTATTGAGAGGAGTAAAGATGATAAATTGCATAAATAACCTGTTCAGATCTCTTCCATCAGCTTGAATGTTGGGGGACTCCAACAGACTCAAAGCAATGGCAGCCTGTAGGTCATCTTTGTTATCATGAGTAAGGTCTATCACTTCTGGAAGATAAACAGAAATTTAATTAGTCTATATATAGGAAACAACAGCCTTCTGGCTGTACAGTAGGAAAAAAGGCAAAAGCATTCACAAAACTAGATATGCTCCCTAGTTCTCACGACACTGGCTCATCTGTGGAACAACTTTATTACTCCAGGCCAGAGGCAAATGAGTAACTCACAGCTATACGGTAACTTTAAGATTAGCCAAAAGGGCAGGAATGATAAGCTGCTGAGAGGTAATGAATCAAATACCCACTTCTGCAGTCTTATTCCACAGAGTAAAATATACATCCCATATCTGGAGGTTAAATAGTTTATCTGTCATCATAAAACATCAGCTAAATATCAAACACATTCAAGGAGCAGATATTTTCAATCTCACACAAACTCTTCTAGGGAATAGAAAACATACTCCCCAGGGGCGCCTTGGTGGCTCAGCTGGTTAAGTGTCTGACTCTTGATATTTGGCTCAGGTCGTGATCTTGCAATCCATGGGATCAGGCTCTGTGCTGACAGCATGAAGCCTACTTGGGATTCTCTCGCTCCCTCCCTCTCTCTGCCCCTCCCCCTCCACTGCCTCCTTTCTATCTGTCTCAAAATAAATAAACTAAAAAAAAAAAAAAAAAAAAAAAAAAAAAAGAAGAAGAAGAAGACATACTCCCCAACTCATTTTATGAAGTCAGCGTAACATCTAGGTATATCCCAAACCAGTCAAGAATAGTGAGAAAGGAAAAGCAACAAACATAAACACAGATGTAAAAAAAGAAAGAAGATATTAGCAAATAAAATCCAGTAATCTACCCCCCAAAATCAAATAGTAACACCACGCTGAGTTCATTGCAGAATGAAATACTGAGTTAACATTAGAAAATTACCATCAATTTTCTTAAAGGAATAATCATCTTAATAGATACAGAAAAAGTACTTAATAACATTCAACTCTATTCAAGAATAAAAACCCCAAGCCAACTAAGAACAAAAGAGAATATTCTTAGGCTGAGAAAGAGTACCCATGAAAAGCCCACAGCAAACTTTATACTTAATTGTGAAATGTAAAACACTTTTATTTTGTTTTATTTTATTAGTATTTTTAAAAATGTTTTATTTATTTTTGAGCAGGGTGGAGGAGGCAGAGAGAGAGGGAGACACAGAATCGGAAGCAGGCTCCAGGCTCTGAGCTGTCAGCACAGAGCCCAATGCAGGGCTCAAACCCACAAACTGCACGAGATCATAACCTGAGCCAAAGTCGGACGCCCAACCAACTGAGCCACCCAGGCACCCCTCGGTGCAACAGTTCTTAACTGGGGGTGAATCTGCACCCTTCCCTTCCTAGGGACACCTGCCTACACCTGGAGATGTGTCTTCAGCTGCCAGTACCTGGCGGAGGGGGCGCTACTGGCATCCAGCAGGTAGAGGCCAGGGATACTGCTCAACATGCAACAATACACAGGATGGCCCTGTTCAACAAAGAATTATCTGGTCCCAAACGTCAGTAGCCCAAACATCAGAAACGCTATTCTCTGGGAAAGCAACAGAGTAAACAAACTAAAAAAGTCAACCAAAAGGTAGACTGGAAGGTGGGAAGGGCTATGGATGAAAAGTTGAGCCAGGCCAGGATGCCAGCATGACGATGGAGGAGGTGAGAAGCGGTCGGATTTACTGAAGATCCTTTGGGAGGCAGGAGAAGAAGCAAGGAGCCAGACAGAGATGAAGCTTTGAGCCTGAGCATCTGGAAGGATAACTAAGTGGTCCTTCCCAGCGGTCTCTTTATATCCATTCTAAACTGCCCCCTCTGCTCCCCTGCCAATCTTCTCCTTTCTCCACACGGCAGCCAGGACAATCTTTAAATAGAAACTCGGTGCCTCCAGTCCCCTTCTCTGTTCACTCCCAAGGTTCCCAAATGCCTGGTGGGCGCCCACCCTGATCCAAAAGGTCTACGATGACATGACCCTTCTAGTTCCTCTTGCTTCTCCTTCAACCCTACTCACCTCCACCTGCCGGCCACAGTGTACCTGATGCACCTCTTCAACACACCAGGCTCTGGCTTCTCTCCCCTAACTACCCTCCACTCCTGTCTGACCCTATTCCTCCTGAAGGCCTCTGTTTAGAGGCCATCTCCTCCAGGAAGTCTTCCTGGACACCCTCTGCTGGGTGAGAGGTCTTCTCAGGGCTTTCACACCACCCTGAAAACACATTTATTTTAAAACCAAGACAAAAATGCCTACCATCAGGACATACATTCACTGTGGTTCTGAACATTCTGGCCAGTTCTTACAAGAAGACAATAAAAGGGGAGCTTGGGTGTTTCAGTCCATTAAGCACCCAACTCCTGATCTTGGCTCAGGTCATGATCTCACGGTTCAGGAGTTCAAGCCCTGCATCAGGTTCCAGACAGCAAGCACAGAGCCTGCTTGAGATTCTCTGTCTCCCCCTCTCTCTCTGCCCCTCTCCCACTCACACACACTCTCTCAAAAATAAATACATGTTTTTTAAATAAATAAACTCATGCAACTGAATAATAAAAAAAAAAAAACAAAAAACAGGCCAATGTTAAAAACAGGCCAAGAATCTGAATAGACATTTCTCCAAAGAATATCTACAAATGGCCAATAAGCACATGAAAGGATGCTCAACATCATTAGCCATTAAGGAAATGCAAATCAAAACTACAATGTGCTATCACCCCGCACCCACCAGGACGGCTGGTATCATAAACAGACAAAACAGGAAAATAACAAGTGCTGATGAGGATTTGGAGAAATTGCAGCCCTTGTGTGTTAGCTGGAGAGGACACAAAATGGTGCAGCTGCAGTAGAAGTTTGAAGGAACCGACTCTGGCAGCCCTTCAAAAAGTTAAACATACAAAGCTTTAGGACATTGGACTGAGCAAGGATTTCTTAGGCCACCAAAAGCACAGGGAACAAAAACAAAAATTGGCAAATGGGACAAAAGCAAACTTAAAAAAAATTTTTTGTGCACGAAAGGCTACAATCAATAGAGTAAATGGGGCACTTGGGTGCCTCAGTGGATTAAGTGTCTGACTTCGGCTCAGGTCATGATCTTGCAGTTCGAGGGTTTGGGCCCAGCATCGGACTCTGTGCTGACAGTACGGAGCCTGCTTGGGGACTTCTGTCCCCCTCTCTCTCTGCCTCTCTTTCCTCTCCCATGTGCGTGTGCACGCTCTTTCCTTCTCTCCCTCAAAAATAAACATAAAAAAAAAAAGATGTAAATAGAATAAAAAAGCAACTACTGAATGGGAGAAAATATTTACCAGTCACATATTTGATAGAAGGGTTAATATCTAGGGGCGCCTGGGTGGCCCAGTCAGTTAAGCGTCTGACTCTTGGTTTTGGCTCAGGTCACTGTCTGGGGTTTCATGAGTTCGAGCCTCACGTCGGGTTCTGTGCTGGAGCATGGAGCCTGCTTGGGATTCTCTCTCTTTGCCCCACCCCACTTGCACTGTCTCTCAAATAAATAAATAAAGGGTTAATATCTAGAACATATAAAAAACTCCTACAACTCAAACCAAAATAACCCAATTTGAAAACAGGTGAAGGACCTGAATGGATGTATCTCCAAAGATGACATACAAAGGCCCAACAAGCACGTGAAAAGATGTTCAGGATCACTAATTACCAAAGAAAATGCAAACCGAAACCACACTAAGGTATCACCTCAAACTCATCAGGATGACAAGTAAAACAAACAAACAGGAAATAACAAGTGCTGGTGAAGATGTTGTGAAATTGGAAGGCTTGGTGAGACTGTAAAATGGTGCAGCAACTGCTATGGAAAACAGGATAGAGGTTCCTCAAAACAAATAAAAATGGGGCCACCACCCGAGCCAGCAATCTCACTGCTGGATATACATTCCAAAAGGACCGAAAGCAGGGTATCGAAGAGATAGTTGCACATCCACGTTCACAGAAGCACTATTCACAACAGCCAAGCAGTGAAAGCAGCTCAAATATCCACCGACGAATAAATGGGTAAAGAAAATGCAGTGTATACACACAACAGAGTGTTATTCAGCCTTAAACAGGAAGGAAATTCTAACATAGGCTACAATGTGAACCTTGAAGACATCAGGCGAAGAGAAGTAAGCCAGCCACAAAAGGACACACACTGCATGATTCCACTTGAATGAGGTACTCAGAGTAGTCAGAATCATAGACAGAAAGGAGAACAGTGGTTGCCAGGAGCTGAAGGGAGGAGGGAATAGGGAGTTATTGTTCAGTGCGTAGAAAGTTCAGTTTTGCAAGATGAAGAAGTTCTGGAGATCTACTTCACAACACTATGAATACATTTAATACTACCAAACCGTATATTTAAAAATGGTTAAGATGGTAGGGGTGCCTGGGTGGCTTAGTCACTTAAGTGTCTGACTTCAGTTCAGGTCATGATCTCCTGGTTTGTGGATTTGAGCCCCATGTTGGGCTCTGCAATGACAGCTCAGAGCCTGGAGCCTGCTTCAGATTCTGTCTCCCTCTCTCTCTGCCCCTCCCCCACTCACACTCTGCCTCTCTCTCAAAAATAAACATTAAAAAAATTTTTTTAAATGTGGGAATGCAAGCTGGTGCAGCCACTCTGGAAAACAGGATGGAGGTTCCTCAAAAAACTAAAAATAGAACTACCCTACAACCCAGCAACTGCACTACTAGGCATTTATCCAAGGGATACAGGTGTGCTGTTTCGAAGGGACACAGGCACCCCCATGTTTATAGCAGCATCATCAACAAGAGCCAAAGTGTGGAAAGAGCCCAAATGTCCATCAATGGATGAATGGATAAAGAAGATGTGGTGTATATATACAATGGAGTATTACTCGGCAATCAAAAAGAATGAAATCTTGCCATTTGCGACTATGTAGATGGAACTGGAGGGTATTCTGCTAAGTGAAATTAGTCAGAGAAAGACAAAAATCATATGACTTCACTCATATGAGGACTTTGTTTCAGATAAACATAAGGGAAGAAAAGCAAAACTAATATAAAAACAGGGAGGGGGACAAAACATAAGAGACTCATAAATATAGAGAACAAACTGAGGGTTACTGGAGGGGTTCTGGGAGGGGGATGGGCTAAATGGGTAAGAGGCACTAAGGAATCTACTCCTGAAATCATTGTTGCACTAGATGCTAACTAATTTGGATGTCAATTTTAAAAAAATAAAATAAATTAAATAAATAAATGTTTTAATGGTTAAGATGGCAAATTTTATGTTATGTTTTCTTGACCACAACTAAAAAAAAAAGACTTCCAACTAATAAATTATGAAGTATTGATAGAATATTAGCATTTCGAAGTCTCCAATAAAGTAAAGCATCTCAGCAATAATCACCAATGACTGCAGAAGACACTAGGTCGGGGATTTTATAATAAAGAAATCAAGCGGATAATCTTCTGAACACACTAACAATTCTAACAACACAAAAAGAGGGCGATCAGATGTTACTTGCTTTTTCAACATGACAAAACAGAAGATCCATTACACACAATACTACCTGTGACACGGTCGTGCCATTAAGCACCTAAGTCTACGGGAAAGACAAGGGACAAAAAACCCATTCAAAGATACTGCAAGATTTGATTTCTTTGGACCTTAAACCGCACGTAAAAAAGAGAGAGGGGATTTATAAAGAGTATCTTAAAAGACATTTCAAACATATCTAATGTTTTAATGCCGTCTGTCTCATTATTTTTGCAAACCAACTGCAAGCGTATTTTAATGAGATGATTAAGGAAATTTCTACACTGGTCTTTGAGTGACATTAAAGAATTATTAATTTTTTTTAATTTTTTATTAGTTTTCTTTATTTTTGAGAGGCAGAGAGAGACAGAGCGTGTGTGGGGGAGGGGCAGAGAGTGAGGGAGACAGGGAATCGGAAGCAGGCTCCAGGTTCTGAGCTGTCAGCACAGAGCCCGACGCGGGACTCGAACCCACGAACTGTGAGATCATCACCCGGCCGAAGTCGGACGCTCAACCGACTGAGCCACCCAGGCGCCCCAAGAATTATTAATTTTTAATGTGTGATAATGTTGCAGCTAAGAAAACAGTCCTCTTTTAGAAAAATTAAAACAAGGAAGTTGACACAGAATTGTTACATGACCCAGTAATTCCATTCATAGGAACGAATTAAAAACAGATCCTCAAAAGAAACAGAATTGGAAACATGAAAATCCAATATAACAGAGAGCTGATAATGCAGACCAGTGGGTAAGTAAAGTCTTTTTTTTTAATTTTTTTTTTAATGTTTATTTATTTTTGACAGAGAGAGAGAGAGAGAGAGACAGAGAGAGAGAGAGACAGAGAGAGCAAGCATGAGTGGGGAAGGGGCAGAGAGAGAGGGAGACACAGAGTCCGAAGCAGGATCCAGGCTCTGAGCTGTCAGCACAGAGTCCAACGCAGGGCTCGAACAAATGGACTGCGAGATCGTGACCTGAGCTGAAGTTGGACATTCAACCATCTGGGCCACTCAGGTGGCCCTAGTAAAGTCTTTTTAATAAAAGGTACCAGGACAATTGACTAAGCTGTATGGGGCTTAGTGAGTGCCAAGGAATCTAAAACTGTATCCTGACCTTATGCCTTGCCTCCTCCCCGCAAATCCACTTCAAATGGATTAAAGAATGTGAAAAGCAAAACATTACAATTCTTATATCCTAGGACTGCCGAGTATAAAAGGAGTTCTTAAACAAAAAGCACAAACCACAGGAAAAGACTGACAAATGCAACCACAATAAAATTAAGGTATTTAGCTCACACCATAGGGTTAGCCTAACCCAAGTCACCAACAGGGAAAAGATGTCTGTAATACAAATCCAAAAAAGTGGGTTAACATCAAATATATATAAAGTCAATATCAGTAAGATATATATCAAGCCTAAGGCTATTATCAATAAGAGAGTATCAGGAATCAATAAGAAAAAAAGCAAACAAATAGAAAAATTGAGGCAGAAAACCCAAAGAGAAATTTCACTCACAGGAAAACGTGAGTGGTCAAAAGGACCAAGTTGCTCAATCTCCTTACCAATGTAAAAAAACTCTCACTGAAAACAAGATATTTTGTAACAAAAATGCAGGCAATAATTTTATAATATAACCAGTTTGAGAGCAACGGGTTACTCAAATCCTGTTAGTGGGAGTTTAATAAATAGGTAAAAAACCTTCTGGAAAATATCATTACCTATAAAGTTGAAGATGAGAGTAGCTTACTACCAATGACACTCCTGGGTATATGCTAACTAAAGAAATTTTGCATATATGCACAAGAAACATGAATCAAACAGCTCACAGCTGTTTGTTTATAATAGCAAAAAAAAAAAAAAAAAAAAAAAAAAAAAAAAAAAAAAAAAAAAAAAAAAAAGGAAACAACCCCAGGTCAATAAACAAATATATCACTTTCAGTATATTCAGACTATGAAATACTACATACCAGTGAAACTAAAGGAACTACAGTTATAACCTTCAATATGAACGAGTTTCAAAAAGAAAAATCTTAACTGAAAAGAGTCACTATTACACTGACATATACAAGAATATTCACAGCAGCACTGTTCACAGTAACTCAAAACCGCAAAAGGCCCTATTTTCATTAACATCATCTGCCCCAGCTGATGGCTCCCTCCTCCAGGAAGCCTTCTTGGCTTCCAGAGTCCCATTTTCCCAGCTCTCCTGGTATTCCTCCAACCTCCCTGGACACTGTCCACCTGCTCCAGCCTCTGAGCACTGGGAGGGTCCATTGCTTAGTCACTGAACCCGTTCCTTTTTGTACACCCCCAACCCCTCGGGAAGCTCATCCAGTATCCCAACTTCACGGACCATTCACAGGTTCAAGTTTTCTCTCTCTGTAGCCGGATCGCTCCCCTGAGCCGCACGCACACTTGGATCCCCCCACTGCCTTTCAGACACTCCACTTGATGTCTAGCAGGTGCCTCAAACTCAGCACCGCCCGACGATCTCTTCACCTGCCACCCAGTCTGCTGTAGCGGTAGTTACTCCAGCATTTCTGCAACTCGGGAGCAAAACCTGGAGCCCCTTCAAGTCCTCTCTCTCTCTTTCACACACACCCCTTATCTCCGCTGTAAGCAAGTCCCCCTCGGCAGGGGCTCCTCACCCCTCCGCCACCACCTCCTGGCCCACACCGCCAGAACCCGCAAAGCCTCCTGACTGCCCCGGGCTCCCTGCTCTGATCCATGCTTACCACCTCACCCCACAGCTCTGTTCTCAACAGAACCATCAGAATGACCTTCAGAAAACGGAAATCAGTTGAGGTCACGCCTCTGCTCCAAACTGTCCCAACGGCTAGCCTCTAGCTAGCGGAAAAGCCAAGCGCGCAAAGGCTCAGCATGATCCGCCTCCCGGTCCGTCTACCACCTCACCTCTCATTGCCCGCCGCACTCACTAAGCTTCCGCTCTGGCCTCGAGCAACTGATGTACATCCCTGTCTTAAGGCCTCATTGACTTGCTCCCTCACCTCCTTTTCACTATCTTTAGTCTTAGCCCATTTAAAATCCAATCCCCAGTGCTCCTTTTTCCTTTTCTTTTTTTTTTTTTAACTTTATTTATTTATTTTGAGAGAGAGGGAGGGAGGGAGAGAGAAAAAGACAGCAGGGTAGGGGCAGAGAAAAGGAGACAGACAATCTCAAGCAGGCTCTGTACTGACAGCACAGAGCCCGAGGTGGGGCTCGAACTCACAACCTGTGAGATCATGACCTGGGCCGAAATCAGGAGTCAGACACTCAACTGACTGAGCTACCCACGTGCCCTTCCTTTTTCCATTTCTTTCATTCCATCCTTTACTTTTCCCTACAGTGGTCACCACGTTCTGATAGGCCACATAATTTACTTACTGACTTGTGGGTTTCCCCCACAAGAAAACAAGCTGCATGAAGGCAGGGATTCTCGTTCTTCTGCTCATCTCCAGTACCTAAAAGAGTGCTTGGCACATAGTAGGTGCCCATTAATAAGTGCAGAATGAATGAATGAATGAATGAATGAATCCATGTAATTGCTCAGAATTGTGCCTGGCACACAGTGATGGTTCAATACTTAGCAATTATTAGCATTATTCCTGCAGGGTTGATGTGATTGGTGGGCAACTCATATACACTCATCTCTTACGTTCTGCTAGTTCGGAGCAGGATACACGGAGATAGGATACACCTACTTGCTAATACTTCTTTGCTAGCAGCTCTCCCCTCTACTTCAGATGGTTCCGTAGCAACAGTGTCTTGCCCGGGTTCTTTAACTCTTTCTTCAGTGAGGAGGCTGACCGCCTGGGTGATGTCACCATTACTGGCCTAATGAAAGAGAAAACACAGACATTTCAAAAGTAAAGCATCACAGCATTTAAAATAAACAGTGAGTGAGTTTTTTTGGTTTAACTCCTGACTACCCTGGTGACATTCTGAATAATTCAAGGCATAAGGTAGAAAGGAGAAGAGAGTATGGCGGAGGACAGCAAGGGTACTACGCTCAAAGCTTGTATCAAATGGTTGGCTCCAGGAAGGGAGTTGCCATGTTCTGATTTCCCACAACACGCAGAGAAGAATGAAATCTTGCTGGAGATTTGTTCTCACTGCTCTGGAAATTACTGCTCCTGATTTTACAGGCTAGCAAAGGCATGATGTATCAAAAGGGGCTGACAGTTAAAACAGAGATTCTAAAGGAAGTCAGCCTCTACAATAAAAATGTTAGGCAGTTACCATATTCGATAGTGGTGACCATACTTCTGTCTGCTTTCAACTTTTTATTAGGAAAACTTTCTAACATACACAACAGTAGAGGCAATGTATAATTGAACCCTATGCACCCGTCACTCAGCTGCAACAATTATCAAGTCATGGTCGATCTTGTTTTGCCTAACCTCTCCCAGACACTGTGAAGCAAATCCCAAGCTTTTCTTTTTAATTTTTTTTAACATTTATTTATTTTGAGAGAGAGCACACGTGAGACACAGTGAGAGAGCATGGGGGAAGGGCAGAGAGGGGGAGAGAATCCCAAGAAGGCTCTGCGCTCGAGTCCGATGCAGGACTAGAACTCACAAACCACGACATCATGACCTGAGCCGAAATCAAGAGTTGGATGCTTAATTGACTGAGCCATCCAGGCGCCCGACAAATCCTAAGCATCTTATCAATACATCAGAATGTATCCTTTCAAAAATATAACCCACAATGCTATTACTACACCTTAACAGTAACAAGTGTTTTGGGGTACCTGGGTGGCTCAGTAGGTTAAGCATTCGACTTTGGCTCAGGTCATGATCTCGCGGTTTGTGAGTTTGAGTCCCATGTTGGGCTCTGTGCTGACAGCTCAAAGCCTGGAACCTGCTTCGGATTCTGTGTCTCCCTCTCTCTCTCTCTCTCACCCACTTACTCTGTCTCTTTCTCTCTCTCAAGATTAAATAAACATTAAAAAAATTTTTTTTTAAATAGTAACAAGTGTTTTAATATCATATCACCAGTTCAAACTTACCTGACTCAATGATTTTTGAGTTTGTTTGAGTCAGGATCCATATAAAGGCTATAAAACGCAATTGGCAGATGCGTTTCTTAAATCTCTTTTGCTCTGTATGGTTCTTCCCAGTTAAGTCTCCCCCATCCTCAACATCCCCCCACCCTTATAATTCACATAGAGAAGATACTGGGTGATCTGACCCATAGAGCTTCCGTCCCTGTATGCAATTTCGTTTTGACATAAAAATAGCTTGACTTGACATAACCATGATATGGACAACTATTTTAAAGCCTGTTGACTAACAGCGGTCTTGAAACTAACCTTCAGAGCTTCATGAAGAAAGGAAGGGTCCTGAATGCCTGTGATTTCTCTTAGTTGGTTTAACAGCATTTGGCAGCTCTGTATTTGAGAAACAAACAAACAAAAAAAAAAACCAGAGACAGGTCAGTCAGAAAGTAAACCTGGATACATTTCAAGAATTTAAGTACAAGCATCTTGGATGATCAGGCTTGAGACTTGCATATTTTACTTTAAGGAACTGACAAACTCCAAGCAACACAGTATTGACTGTCAGACACATTCTAAAATGCCAAATTTATTTCTCTTGTAAAAGGTTAATCATGAAACATGCTTTTGGCACTGGTGGGAAATAATATTAGTAAACAGTAAAACTATTAAGTACGTAAAATATTTAAATGTAGTAGTTAGCCCTCGTAGTAGCTAAAGTGCCTGAGGTTTTTCTTTCTGTGAGTAATACATAACTGGGTCATAGAAGGAGTCCAGGGAATTCGCATGGATGTGAAGATGTGCTATTTTAAGCCACACTGCACATGCCATTTTTATGTGTCATTTTTCACTGACAATAAATTTCCAATCGCGTAATTAACAAATGATACCACCAAAGTCATGATTTAAAACTTCAGATTTGATTGCTTAAAAAGCAGAGACAGAACCAACATTTTCTGAATTGTAAATAAAATTCCAGAGGGAATAAACTATGGAAGCCCTTGTCTTCATTAATCAGAATCATGGAAAAACCTATCTTGTTAACTTCCAGCTACCACAAGATCAGTTTCTAACTCCTTTACAGCCTTCAAGTCTTCATTGGAACACCTTACCCTATTTTGCACAAAGACAAAAGTTAACACAAAACACCTATTTTTCACAAGCAAGCTCGTCTAAAGAACTGGCTCGCCCAATTCTTTTAGATAGATTACTGAAAACGAAATAGTTCAAATTTAATTCAGCGAAAAGAAATCAAATTTATACCAGGCCTAAGGTTGTTTTGATATTAAGCCCCAATTCAATATCTGATGCTCCCCATCAACTATCTTTCAGTTAGTAATATGTCTCCAAGAGGCAGTCTACACTCACTGTCAGCTGTAACAGAAATAGTATCCTATGTTTTTCAACAGCTGAGGGCCCAACGCAACACTTAAATATCACACAACTAGAAATAACTAACTGAAACAGACCTGCACAAGTGCTCAGAAAAGCATCAACAGTCTTTCTGCTCTGGTCATGGGCCACAGTCATAGGATAGAAATGGAACCCGATGCTGCTGAGACCAGCACTCTTGGAGGCTAGGAGTCTTGTCAAAGGTAGTCACTGCCTGTATACTGGGACAGTGCTATCAGACTAAAAGGTGTCTGGATTTAGCCTTGGCAAATGCTAGCATAGGGCTTTTAGAAAAATAAAGTGTTAAAAAGTTTTTTTCCCCAAACTAATTCTTTTTTTTCTTTAATAATTTTTTTAAGTTTATTTTGAGAGAGACAGTGGGAGAGGGGCAGAGAGAGAGAAGGAGAGAGAGGATCCCAAGCAGGCTCTGCACTGTCAGCGGGGAGCCCGATGTGAGGCTCGATCTTGCAAACTGTGAGATAGTGACCTGAGCCCAAATTGAGAGTTGGACACTCAACCAACTGAGCCACCGAGGTGCCCCTCAAAATAATTCTAATTCCATTTTATTTTATGTGTAAAAGTGTGTGAATCTATACATCTCGATCATACACAATTTTCTAAGAAATCAAAATCAATATGCCTCAAAAAGGGTGGAATAATACAGACCTTCCTCAAGTTATGACGGAGTTACATGCCAGTAAAGCTATTGTAAGTTGAAAATATCATTAAGTGCAAAATGCACTTAATAGACCTAACCTCCCCAACATCACAGCTTAGCCTAAGCCTATCTCAGATGTGCTCAGAACACTTACCTGGGCCTACAGTGGGGAAAAAAAAATCATCCAACACAAAACCTATTTTATAATAAAGTGATGAATATCTCATGCAGTGTACTGAATGCTGTACAGAAAGTGAAAACCAGAATGGTTGTAAATGTATCGGTTGTTGACCCCCCAAGGTAGCGCGGCTGACTGCCCCTGGGCCAGCATCACCAGAGAGGAGCATATCGCATAGCGCCAGCTTGAGGAAAAGATCGAAATGCCAAATTCAAGGTATGGTTCCTACTGGATGCATGCCACGCTTACACCAACGTGAAGCTGAACCCTCATACGTCTGTACTTGGGAGGGGGAAACGAGTGGCGTTGTTATCCCTACACTGGAACTAACAAGGTAGCCATGGGATTGATAATCACATCTCCTCCAATTACCCTGTGTACCAACTGACACTTTGGATTCCCAGAAAATCACGCCAGTCAGAAATAGTAGTTGACGTACGCTGCTGACTGTCAGAAAGGCAATGCTACACATGCTCCGTATGTATTAACTAATTTCAGTTTCACCCTCCTAAGAAAGCTGTGACAGGTATTATGCCGCTGTGACAGAGAACAAGCACAGGGAGGTCCCTGCACCAACACAAGGTTACTAGTAGGAAGGGATGCTGTGAGATCTGACCCCGGGCTGCTCTGCCACGGGAGTCTGCACCCTACGCCAGGCTGTATCTGAGAAGACAAGGGCAACAGGCAAGAATACCTATTTCAGGGGTGCCTGGGTGGCTCAGTTGGTTGAGCATCCGACTTGGGCTCAGGTCATGATCTCACCATTTGCGGGTTCAAGCCCCATGTCAGGCCCTGTGCTGACAGCTCAGAGCCTGGAGCCTGCTTCAGATTCTGTGTCTCCCTCTCTCTCTGCCCCTCCCCTGCATGTGCTCTCTCTCTCTCTCTCAAAAATGAATAAATAAACATTAAAAAAAAAAAAAGAATACATACTTAATGCAAACCAATGCAGATAATTAATTCTTGTATTTTGACCTTAGTCTTGCATCTTTGGGAGTTTTCTATCACTATTTTGCCTGCCTTACAAAACCACACCTTTGACTACTTAGTCAGACAATCAGTTCTAAAACAGGAAAGTACTGTGTCAGAGGTAAACACTACTTTTGATTGAATCTGAACGGCACACTTACTTTATGCACCACAAAGGAGAAGAAACAGTTGCCACTTAAACCAGGACACAGTGCCTTCATGACAGTCCCAGGAGACCCATGAATTGGTCACACCAGCTTCCTGCAGCCCTAAAATTTCTTATTTATTTCGAGACATACAGCCATTTCCCCCGCTTCCCCAGGTGCATTGCCTGGCATGGGACAAGCAATTCTTTTGCATGTTTCTCAGCAACAAAACTTAATATACCTAGGGTGGCTTCCTTTCTTAGGTCCCATAAAACACTCGAATGCACCTTTGCAAGAAAATTTGAAACTGCGATCATCCCTCCAAGGACAAATATTTTGCCTCCCATAAAATCAAATTTATACTCTGCTGTTCTGTTTCTATGCCTTTCTTCATCCAGTTTTCTTTTTTCATTTAAATGCCAAATCACAGTGTGAATCTTTTAATTTTTTTAATGTTTATCTATTTTGGAGAGACAGACAGAGACAGAGCAAGAAAAGAGGAGGGGCAGAGAGACAGGGAGACAGAATCTGAAGCAGACTCCAGGCTCTGAGCTGTCAGCACGGAGCCCGATGTGGGGCTCGAACCTGTGAACCGTGAGATCATGACCAGAGCCAAAGTCGGACACTTAACCGACTGAGCCACACAGGTGCCCCACAGTGTGATCTTTTAAACTGAAAAGTTAACTAACTAAATTAAAAATTCAACTAACCAACAGCACATACAGTCAACCGCCAGAACAGTAGGAGCAGCTCTGACCAAGCACAAGCGCGTGAAGATAGTCTGAGTACCTCCTACCTGCTACTTGCGGACAGACAATGTGAGGAACATCTCAACTTCAGAGATCTCAGAATGCCAAATCAATGTGAATCAGTGAAATATGGTACTCAAGTATTAAATAATTCACCAATCATCATATTTAGCCATGGATTAAAGCCCCACTCCCCTTTCTCCACTTTGTAAGATAAGCAGTGGACACTAAGACATCTAGAATAACACACACACGAAAGGAAAATAAACTCTGAGTCCCCCCTTTTTAAAAGCTGCTGGTCGGTTAAGCGTCTGACTCTGGATTTCAGCTCAGGTCATGATCTCAGGGTTGGTGAGTTCAAGCCCCAGCTCAGGCTCTGTGCTGTCAGTGCAGAAAAAAGTTTCTGGACACAGACGACAACTATGTAAAATCATTTTGTACAACTCCAGGAACAACACGCTACATGTTACTTCAAATCCAAACTCCTGATTTTGTTCCTCAAAGGCCGTTATCTGCTTCTACCTTTAACCTGCCCATCATTTTCTCCTACTCAGTCCTTACCTCACAAATGCATCCTCTCTCATGCCTTCTAGTGTTAAACTTCTGTGATCTCCAGGAATGCCCAATTCCACAGTTCAGGGCTATATTCATCCCTTTTTTTTTTTTTTAAGTTTATTTATTTTTGAGAGAGAAAAAGGAAGAATGAGCATGGGAGGGGCAGAGAGAGAGAGGGGGAGAGAGAGAGAATCCCAAGCAGGCTCCATGCTGTCAGCACTGATCCCAACGCAGGGCTCAATCCCATGAACCACGAGATCATGGCCTGAGCCAAAGCTGGACGCTTAACCAACTGAGCTGCCCAGGCGCCCCAAGGGATAGATTCATCTCGCTTCCTCCTTAAAGTCATTCCCAAGAACTCTGGTCCACACTATTCTCTACCTTTCGAATCCCCCATATTGTGGGAACAAATGAGCTTGTGAATGAAAGGGACTAAACTGTCTTTACCTGGTATTTCTCATCATGTGGTTCTCTGTTTTCAAGGGGAAATTCCTGCCTCCATAAAGGCAAGAATCATACAACATAATACCTAATTTGAACCATGCAAAGGACTGTGCTGGTAACAGTTGGGACTATCATGTCAACATCTTCTATGTGCCCAGAACCTTAGGTGCCTCACACACACGTCATCCTTGTAACAACCCTAAAAGGTAGGAATCGTTATCTTCGTTGGGCAGATTAGGAAACTACGGTTTACCAAATCCATTTTGTCATCAGATGTCTTGAATTAAAAAGGCCAATCA